TGGACTCTGTGTTTGGGGCAGGTCTCCACCGGGTGTGGACTCTGTGTTTGGGGCAGGTCTCCACCGGGTGTGGACTCTGTGTTTGGGGCAGGTCTTCACTGGGCGTGGTTCAGGTCAGGATCATGGTTTATTCTAGTATTAGTCTCAAGGTTGATTTTGTGATCCTGCCTACACTGGTCTGTGCTGGAACCAGCTAGGTACCACCCAGATCCAGTCTGCCCACAGAGCTCATGACCCTACACCACTGGGAGAAAGTATGGAAGGTTCTGGAGGACAGTTGGCCTCAGGAAGGGGTAGTTGCAGTTGGACGTCAGTTCCCATAAAGATAGGTTCCCTGGAGAGGCTCTGCACAAGGGGAGGTACAGCTAGGGCAGTGGTGGGCGGGGCTGTAGGTCTGCAGGGAGGTGGTGGGCGGGTCTGTAGGTCTGCAGGGAGGTGGTGGGCGGGTCTGTAGGTCTGCAGGGAGGTGGTGGGCGGGGCTGTAGGTCTGCAGGGAGGTGGTGGGCGGGGCTGTAGGTCTGCAGGGAGGTGGTGGGAAGGGTCTGTAGGTCTGCAGGGAGGTGGTGGGCGGGGCTGTAGGTCTGCAGGGAGGTGGTGGGCGGGGCTGTAGGTCTGCAGGGAGGTGGTGGGTCTGTAGGTCTGTAGGTCTGCAGGGAGGTGGTGGGAAGGGTCTGTAGGTCTGCAGGGAGGTGGTGGGAAGGGTCTGTAGGTCTGCAGGGAGGTGGTGGGCGGGGCTGTAGGTCTGCAGGGAGGTGGTGGGCAGGGCTGTGGGTCTGCAGGGAGGTGGTGGGCGGGGCTGTAGGTGTGCAGGGAGGTGGTGGGGCGGTCTGGGATGGGTCCCATAGGTCTGAGCATGTAGGGTGGGAGGCAGGGTGTCATTCCTGTGGGCTCCCACCCGGGTGTGGGAGTAGGTGTTCTCTTTCGTCTGACCTCAGGGTTAGACCACATATGAAGGAAAATAATTTTACCGGGAGCTGATCCATGCGGGCCTTTGCCTTGGATGTGGGGGATGGGGAGGGCTCTCCACACGTGGACTAAGATGGCTGTCCGAGCACTCCCCGGGGCAACCTGTCCCGTTAGGGTCGCCTACCTCACCAGTAACAAGCGCAGCACTGGCTCTAGCCCCCTCTCCCTGCCCTGGGTGTCTCTGGGGTTTACTCCCAGGGTCCCGGGTGGCAGAGGCTGAGGACCTGCTCTGCTCTTACCCAGGGTCCTGGTCCAAGGTGTCCCTGAATACGGCTGTGAGATAAACGTGCAGAAGACGGTGGTGAACTTCCCTCTGGAGGGCGTGGTCCTGGATGGGGCCGCCCCGGAGCAGCTGCCTGCCCACTGCCTCTTCCCCTGGTGTGGGCTGCTGCTGGACACGCAGACCTTGGAGGTGTTCTGTGACTACTCCAGGTAAGGCCTGCCTGGAGGTGTTCTGTGACTGCTCCAGGTAAGGCGCGCCTGGAGGTGTTCTGTGACTGCTCCAGGTAAGACGCGCCCGGCTGGTGGAGGCCGGCTGGCTGCACTGCAGGTGACTCACTGCGCCTGCTCCAGCATTTGCACCTAGGCAGTGAGGACACACGCTGTCCCCCAGCCAGGTAGGCCGACGTTGGCGTTGCACTGGACTCCTGTGCCAGTTTGGAGGAAGGAAGGTGCAGATGTAGGACTACCGGGTGTCTGCCACTGCCCGCCCAAGTTCATGCGCCAGCCTTGCCGTGCCTCTGGGACAACAGGAACTTGTGGCCACTGTTGGCAGGAGAGGATTCAGGACCCTGTGTGGAGTCTATGAAATGGGGTGTCACCTCCTGTGTGTGTGTGAGTCTATGAGATGGAGTGTCACCTGTGTGTGTGTGTGTGTGTGTGTGTCTATGAGCTGGCGTGTCACCTCCTGTGTGTGAGTCTGTGAGATGGTGTGTCACCTGTGTGTGTGAGTCTATGAGATGGCATGTCACCTGTGTGTGTGAGTATGAGATGGCGTGTCACCTGTGTGTGAGTCTATGAGATGGCATGTCACCTCCTGTGTGTGAGTCTATGAGATGGCGTGTCACCTGTGTGTGTGAGTCTATGAGATGGCGTGTCACCTGTGTGTGTGAATCTATGAGATGCCGTGTCACCCGTGTGTGTGTGTGTCTATGAGATGGCGTGTCACCCATGTGTGTGTGAGTCTATGAGATGGCGCGTCACCTGTGTGTGTGAGTCTATGAGATGGCGTGTCACCTCCTGTATGAGTCTATGAGATGGCGTGTCACCTGTGTGTGTATCTATGAGGTGGCGTGTCACCTGTGTGTGTGAGTCTATGAGATGGCGTGTCACCTGTGTGTGTGTCTATGAAATGGCGTGTCACCTGTGTGTGTGAGTCTATGAGATGGTGTCACCTGTGTGTGTGTGTGAGTCTATGAGATGGTGTGTCACCTGTGTGTGTGTGAGTCTATGAGATGGCGTGTCAACTCCTGTGTGTGTGAGTATGAGATGGCGTGTCACCTGTGTGGGTGTGAGTCTATGAGATGGCATGTCACCTCCTGTGTGTGTGAGTCTATGAGATGGCATGTCACCTGTGTGTGTGTCTATGAGATGGCGTGTCACCTCCTGTGTGTGTGTCTATGACATGGCATGTCACCTGTGTGTGAGTCTATGACATGGCGTGTCACCTCCTGTGTGTGTGTCTATGAGATGGCGTGTCACCTGTGTGTGTGTGAGTCTATGAGATGGCGTGTCACCTGTGTGAGTCTATGAGATGGCGTGTCACCTGTGTGTGTGAGTCTATGAGATGGCGTGTCACCTGTGTGTGTGAGTCTATGACATGGCGTGTCACCTGTGTGAGTCTATGAGATGGTGTGTCATCCGTGTGTGTGTGAGTCTATGAGATGGCGTGTCAACTGTGTGTGTGTGTCTATGAGATGGCGTGTCACCTGTGTGTCTATGAGATGGCGTGTCACCTCCTGTGTGTGGTGTTTGTAGAGATGGGGTCTCACATTCTTAGGAGGTCACAGCCCAAGGGATTCAAAATGAGCAAGAATGAAAGCTCTCTGGTGTGGTGGTAGAAGACTGGCACCTGTGTTTTCTTGGGTGGTGACTCCAGCCTTCCTGTCTAATGGCCCTCATCTGGACTGTCCTGTCTCCCGTATGCGCTCTGGAATTCCCACCACAGGGCCTAGTGTGCCCAGTGCCCTCCGGCTTGGCCCTGCTGCCACTCCTGTGCCGGGGCCGCCGGCTGCCGCCTCTGGCCTGGTGTTTCCTGAGCTCAGAACTCAGCTCAGACTTCTGGGTTTGATACTCCTGCGGCCTGAGCCCCGTTCTGCTCTCGTGTGCGTCCCCTCCCTGCCGACCACACCAGGGAGTTCAGGTTCTCTACCTTTGTCTGTCCCATTTCCATGAGACCAGCCCTCAGGACCACTGTTTTCTTTCCCTTTCTTTCTTTCTTTCCTTCCTTCCTTCCTTTGTCGTTTTCTTTCTCTCTCTTTCTTTCTTTCCTTCTCTTTTCTTTCTTTTCTTTTCTCTTTCTTTCTCCATCCTCCAACTTGAACTGAGGGCCTGGGTGCTGTCCCTGAGCTTGTTTACTCAAGGCTAGTGCTGTTGCGCTTGAGCCACAGCTCCACTCACGGCTTGGTGGTGCAGTGGAGATGAGAGCTCCCAGACTTCCTGTCCAGTGAGATCCTCATATCTCAGCCTGAGTAGCCAGGGCTCTAGATGTGTCCCACCAGCGCCCTGCTCTGAGTCTCTGAATGGTGGAGGGCGCACTCCTGCTGGGGCCGAGTGAGTAGGAGTGAGCATACGTGGGCAGGAGTGAGCATACGTGAGCAGGAGTGAGCGTACGTGGGCAGGAGTGAGCATACGTGGGCAGGAGTGAGCATACGTGGGCATACGTGAGCAGGAGTGGGCACACGTGGGCAGGAGTGGGCAGGAGCGAGCATACGTGGGCAGGAGCGGGCATACGTGGGCAGGAGCGGGCATACGTGGGCAGGAGTGGGCATACGTGGGCAGGAGCGGGCATACGTGGGCAGGAGCGGGCATACGTGGGCAGGAGCGGGCATACGTGGGCAGGAGCGGGCATACGTGGGCAGGAGCGGGCAGGAGAGCTACAGCTGCGGCATCTGCTCTCTGAGTTGCCAGCTTCTGAACACCATGGCTGAGAGAGCTCAGCTGGGCGGCTGTGGCCCAGGGTGAACGTGGGCCTTGTCTGTGCACATGGTGCCCATGGTCCTCCTGTGCGGACAGTAGCCGTGTGTGTCAGGACAGGAGCGCAGGCGTGTGGCTAGGAAACATCTTAACAGGAGAATAACCTCAATGCCAATGGCTCACGGCTGTAGTGTCAGCCACTCAGGAAGCTAAGTTAGGACATCTGTAAGATTCTCATCTCCAGTTAACCGTCAAAAAGCCAGAAGGAGAACGGTGGCTCAAGTGGTAGAGCATTAGCTTTGAACAAAAGCTCAAGTACAGAGTCCAGGCACTGAGTTCAAGTACCAGGACAGGCAAATAATAATAGTTAACTTAAAAAAAAGAGAAAATGATAGCACCTAGATACCTAGATTTTGTTCTAACCCAATCCACAGCTCAGATGGCAGAGAGTGGTGAGAAATGACAAAAGAAATACAATTAAAGCCGTATCTCCCCAAACTATACAGTAGATAGTAAGTAGAATGGCCCAAGACACCCCCCGCCCACCATGAATGCTCAGCCCTTAAGTAAAATGGATCGGATCTGCACAGGGCCCTGTGAACCCTCCGGAAGACCGCATGTGCGGGGGTGCGCGTGCACCCAGAGCATGTGGGTGCAACTGTTGTACTACAGAGGGTGTACTGTCACACTAGAGGGTGAGTCTGACAGAAGCTCCAGACACGGAAGCCACTGCGTCCTCACGTGGTCTGCAGTCTGGAGGGTGAGTCTGATAGAGAAGCTGTGGACACGGAGGCCACTGCGTTCTCACGTGGTCTGCAGTGCAGCTGGTGGAAAGAAGGCCTCACTGAAAATTTTTTCCTGAGCTTTTTGGGAACAAGTAAGTTTGATCCTTGACTTTGACAGTAGGAGGTGCTGACACCAACGGCAGTCAGAGGAAAAGGAGAAACACAAGATAGAAACAAAAGCAGAGCTGAAGAGGAAAGCAGACCGGAAAGTTCTGTGCTTTGCTGTGACTTTCGGGGGAAGGTCAGATTACACCCCATGCCTCAGGAGGAAGGGTGGGCCCTGAGGAAGAGGAGTGGGTACTGAATAAGAGGAGTAGACTTTGAGGAGGAGGAGGAGGGGTGGGCCCTGAGGAAGAGGAATGGGGGTGGGGGAGGAGGGATGGGGAATAGAGGAGGAGGGGTGGGGGAAGAGGGAAGGGCCTGAGGAAGAGGAGGGGGGGGAGGAGGAGGAGGGGTGGGCCCTGAGGAAGAGGAGTGGGTACTGAATAAGAGGAGTAGACTTTGAGGAGGAGGGGGGGGAGGAGGGGTGGGCCCTGAGGAAGAGGGGGGGGGGAGGAGGAGGAGGGGGGGGCCCTGAGGAAGGGGGGGGGAGTAAGAGGAAGGGGGGGAGGAAGAGCCCCCCCCCACCGTGGGCCCCACAGCCTCCCCTGTGTCGCTCCTGCACCGTCCTGTGGTGTCAGGGCCTGCCCGGTTCTCCTACTCCACCTCCTGGTTCTCGGCCCTTCTAGATGAGTGAGCACCAAGGCCCAGGGATGGGCACCTTATCACCTCCGGGCACAGCAGCCTGGTCCCTGCCCCCTTCTGCCCACACTGCTCAGACCAGAAGCTGACCCCCTAGAAAAGGCAGCAGTGGTTCTGGGTGTGGACCACCGCTAAGAGAACTCACTCACACCCCAGCCCCCTTCCACGCCCGGCTGCGTCTCTCTCACTGAGAGCTGGTGTCGGGCGCAGGGTGGAAGGCGTCGAGAGTGGCGTGTTCGTGTGGTCTCAGGATGGCTGGCAATTCCACGTGTCCAGCTCTACCCTGAAGAAGGACCGGAGTCACGGGGATGTCCTTGGCCTTTTAAAGACACAGTATACAGTGGTTGTACAAAGCGTTCCAGAAGTCAGGTTCTGACTTCTCGTTCAGTACCATGCCTTCCACCCTCCCCTCCCCACCCTCTAGTTAGGTAGTTCATGGTTTTCGTTGTTTTCTTGCCAATCCTGGGACTTGAAGTCTGGGCTTGGGCCTTACCACTGGAGCTGACTTTGTGGTTAATTGGAGATGAGAGTCTTGCAGACTTTCCTGCTCACACTGACTTCACTGCGATCCTTGGATCTTAGCCTCCTGAGTAGCTAGGATCACGGCCATAGTTCATTTTTATGTGATTAGATTGGATTGCTCTCTCCTTCCCTCTCCTGCCCTCCCTCAACCCCTGCCACAAGAATAGGCTGGCATTCATTTGGACATTGGTTAGCTCTTAGCTCCCCAAGTACGCCGTCCTTTAGCCAGTTTGTTTGCATGTAACCCTG